CCAGCCGTCGGCCCAGTCAGCTGCCTTCCCCGCCCTCTTTAGCCCGGCCCTCCCTTCCCTGGAAAATCCCGCCACCCCTTCCCCTTTGAAATTTGAAATTCATGCTTTGATTTCATCATTACTTCTTTCCTAAAATAATGTCTTACATTTAGGAATAGAGTTAAATGAAATCCCTTCAGTTTTGAATTCAAATTTCAAACCTCCCTAATTGATTAAATATGAAATTTGAAATTAGGTTTTAATTAATTTCATGGGCCCCACTAAATAATCAAATTCCCTCTCCTTTTCTCTTGCTTGGCCGACCACCCCCCCCTCACCTATTCTCTCTCTACTTGCCACCTAAGCACCCACTAATTCCCCTCTTAATTCCCCCCTAATAACTGCCTCTCTCTTTAATGTAAAATAGGGAGGTTTTAATTGCAATTAACCTCTCCCTCCAACCCAAGAAAATCTGAAATTCAAATTCGGATTTTCTCTTGGTCTTCCCTATCTCACGGCCCAACTCTTCTTCCCGCCCATCCTCAATGTTGAATGGCGGATCCGGAGCTCGAGTGGGGACTAGTATTCAACGCCGACGGGAGCATTAATATCCTACGATCTCCGTGCTTTGACGTAGGATTTGAAGACGACGCTACAGTTGAAGAATACTTGGAGCGAGTCGTCCCGATTCTTGTGAGCATCATCGACCGACAGTTTCAAGATTACATTTGGACAATCATTGGACGCCATCCACCACCACTCCCACCGGCGGCCACCTTTCCGGTAACGAAGTCCTTCGTCTCCTTTTCCGTAGTGGTGCTCTCCATCTTCGTGTGGTTCTTTCTTCTCCGCTAAAGCCCAAAGAGTGAACGAGTGAGAGGGTGCTCAAGGTGAACTTCTTCATTATTAATTGTGGGATTGTGTTGTGAGCATTTAAGTAAATCTTTTTTATCTTGAAATATTATGAATTGTTTGGTGAACTCAAAGCAAATCTTCGCCTAAGCAAGTTGATTACTTAGAATAAGTTTAATCCTCTATTTTGTTGGTAATAAATTTGTATTGGCAAGTTTTAATTAATTCTTGTTTTAATTTCCGCACGCAATTCCTTCGTTGATTCACATCAATAACACTCTATGGATTTACTTACAGAAATGTTTAAAAGTAGAAAGAAATTTTACCTAAATTGTAATATCATCACCCACATGACCTGTTTTACCGAGCCGGGTGGACTTCAGCGGTATTCATTATGTGTATTAGTAAATGGACATTGAACTTTGATTTAATTGATGAAAGTCCAATTGCACCTATATGGTTTTCATTTCCACAACTGAGGATTCATCTCTTTTATTAGAAGATTTTCTTTTTGCTAGCCTTTTTGTTTGGTAAACACTCAAGTGACCCTTCTGCGAGCCTATTGACAAGCCAGTTTGGCAATTGGGCCTAGTTTTAAAATATTGCTGTTAACCCTTTTGAGATGTAAAATCTTACAAAATTATTACCTGAAGGTCTATGTCGAATATAAAAAATCAATTTGTGTCACAGGTTGTTATAACAATATACCTCAGGGTTTCAGGCGTGTTATCTTCAGAAACTAATATTGCATATTAATTTTCAATGTCACGTTCTGAGATTATTTATAACTAATTAAAGTAAATGCAGCAAAAGAAAAAAAGAAAAAAAGAAGAAGAAAAAAAGGGTTTAAAAGTTAATTAGATAGAAGTGTGTTTTAGTTGTTCTTCGTCTGAGACACTATTATATGCAATTTCCATAGATCACCATTGTTTATAATACTTTGACTGAAGCTTCCTTTGCTAGCATGCAAAATTGTTTCTTACTCTGATGCTTATAATGTTATATTCTAGCATGGAATGATCTTTCCCCAAGTGAATCTTTTCACACTTGTGTCCAAAGCCACACGAAATAATGTTGGCTGTGGTTCAATTCTATTTGTTTGTGCTGGCCTAAATATTGTTTGTATTATTGTTATAATATATACGAAGTATAGCCTCCTAGATATGGAGGTATTGGCTTATTGCTTTGAACTTTCAGCAGCGTGTTACTATCTCCTGGATCAAAGAAGTCAGAAACTTCAGCTGATCAGCGAGATAATGTTGTCCTAACGCCAAAGAATGTGCAGGTATCATTTGCATTTGATTTTTGTAATGCTCAATTTGTATGAAGGGAATATGGGGAAAATATAGGTGAAACAATTTCTTGCTTGATGATGAACAAATGAATTCTCTTTTGATTATTATCACCTTTTTTCTTCCAATTTATACTCCCTTTTTGTTCCATTGAAATATTGTAAAGATTCTATTTTGATTTGTATTGAATTAGCCTAAACCTGCGAACTCCAGAAACCACATAATGAACGTTTTATTCTGTCACTCAGGCATTAAGAACTCTTTTCAATGTTGCACATCGCTTGCACAATGTGCTGGGAGCATCCTGGGTTTTGGTATGCCTCATAAAATTGTTTGTTACCTATTTCAATAGAATATACAGCCAGTTATAAATGCAAATTTGTAGGTTTTAGAGACACTGGCTGCTCTTGATCGGGCCATCCACTCCCCACATGCTTCTACACAGGTATATCGAGAAGCCCTTTCTTTTGAAATTTGATTCAAATCAACTTAATTATATGACTTATTTAATATTTTTATACAAACAATTTTATGTTATTTTTATTTTTCTGTATTTTTTTTCTATTAAAATATTAATATTCTGTGAAAAACTCAAATATAATATATTTTTATGTGATATTTAATTTTATGTAATTTGAGTTGGCTTGAATTTGAGTTTTGAGTGGTGATAATATCAGTGAGCTGTGGTAATAATTTCAAGCCAATTTGAATTGATTTATAGCTATCATAGGATCAATTTATTATGAATTGATCCTGCTAGACTTAAAACTAACATTTAATTTCAACCGATCCTGCTTGAGTGTTGCCACTACCATTTGAGTAAACAATACTTATTTCTAGTGTAGCAAACATTTTTTATTTTTTTGTCAAAACATTAAAAAAAGAAAAATAAAAGTGATCCCAAATGACCCATAGATATCTCAGTGTTACTAAGGAAATTTTTTTTAGCAATCTGTATTTAATTTTTCTGATAGCTTAACTGAGATAGTTTGCTTGCAGCGTTGAATAGGTAATGGTTTTTAAGTTGTATTTTCTTTTGCAAGCCAGGATAGTTGCTATTACTTGTACTGAAATTAATTAACTCATTCTTAAACTAATATTAGTTATTATTTTTAATTGGTTATTGATTTGATTTTCATTTTAGCTTGCTGTGCAAGGCACACAACTAGTCTTTTCAATCTTCATATGGATATTCGTATTCACAATTATACATCAACATCAACATCAAGCCTTTATCCCACTACGTGGGATCGGCTACATGAATCATTTTTCTTCATTGTGTCCTATTAAAAAAATTCTAATTTAAATCTAATAAAGAAAGGTCATTCCTAATATTTTCTAACCAAGACTTTTTAGGTCTGTCTCTACTTTCTTAACATAAGTCAAATCTAATATCTCTACTCTTCTAACCGTCTCACCAAACCATCTAAGGCGACTCTCTCTAATCTTATCTTCTACTATAGCTACTCCAACCTTTTCACATATATGCTCATTTTGTATCCTATCTATAAGGGTAAAGTCACTCATCCACCTGAGCATCCTCATCTCTGCCACACTCAACTTAGTGTTATGCTTCTCTTTTAATGGCCTCTAGTCTTATCAACAAGAAGAATATCATCAGCAAAAAGCATACACCAGGGTACATTCTCTTGCAAATGTCTAGTGAGAACATCCATGACTAAAGCAAAAAGATATGGGCTTAAGGATGATCCTTGATGTAACCCAACCAAAATAGGGAAATACTTGGTCAAACCACCTTGTGTTTGTACACAAGTAATATCACCTGCATACATATCTTTAATGATTTGAAAATAAATGTTATTAACTCCTTTCTTTTCAAGAACTATCCATAGCACTTCTCTTGGAACTTTATCATATGCTTTTTCTAAATCAATAAATATCATATGTAGATCCTCCTTATTTTCTCTATATTTCTCCCTCAAACCTCTTAATAAATGTATGTCTTCCATAGTCGACCTACCCGACATGCATCCAAATTGGTTTTGAGAAACATCAGTATCACGCCGCAACCTATTCTCCATAACTCGCTCCCATTGTTTTAAAGTATGATGCATTTACTTAATTCCTCTATAATTCGCACAATCTTGTGCATCATATTTATTCTTAAAAATAGGAATTAACACCTCATCCTCCACTCATCTGACATCTTTTTAGTCTTCAAAATAGTATTAAAAAGAGTAGTAATCCAAGAAATTTCTTCATCTCCTGAGCATTTCCACGCCTCTATTGGAATATCATCAGGTCCAACAGCTTTTCCACCCCTCATTTTCTTTAAAGCCTCTCTAACTTCAATTTTATTAATACACCGATAAAAATAGAAATCTTTATTTTCATTTAAGGTGTTAATGTCACTACAGTTAATCTTATTTTCACAATCTTCATTAGAAAGTTTAGCAAAATATCACATCCACCTTTGTTGAATATCATCTTCTAAGAAAAGTATTTTTTTATCTTCATCCTTAATACACTTCACTTGAACTAAATCCTTACTAATCCTATCTCTTTGTTTGACTAACTTATACATATATCTTTCTCCCTCCACTTTTCTCATCCAGGACTTCGGACCTGACAACGGCAGTTTTATATTCAAAATCATAAAAGTTTAAATTAAGTCTAAAGCTCTGAAAACTTTTATATTTATCTGTAGGAAGTTTCAGCTTCTGTTTCAAGGTTGACGAGAGAAACATCTGGGCAGTATAGTGACTTCAACATACTATCTTCTTTGAATTCTCAGGTAAGGTTGATTTTGTTTCTCTTCTTAATTCTTTTCTTGTTTGGATGGGTTAGTGTCATAATTCTTTTGTAGCTTTACACCTAAATTGATAATTTCTAACTTACTCTCCCTTCTGATTCGGAAGTTGTTTGAAAGTTCAGCACTGATGCATGTCTCGGCAGTGAAGTCACTTTTATCTGCCCTACGTCAATTGTCAAGTCAGTGCATTTCTGGATATCCAAGTGGTATGGGGCAAACTGTAAACCAGCAAATTGGAAGTGTCGCATTTTGTGTGGAGAGTATTACATCAGTTCTATTAAATAATCTTCATAGTAAGTTTTGCCATCTCTAACCATCCAAAGCTTTAAGCTTTTAACTCATTTATCGGAATGGTGACAGCTAACATATATATATATATATATATATATATATATAGATGAAAGTTAAGCAATTTTGAAGAACATTTGCATCTGTATCAGTTTTAGATACTTATGCCTTTTTAGTGTTTCGCATGTTCTTTTACTGAAAGACCCTAAGGTTCAAGTCTTTAGGAATTTATAGATTAAGATTTGTTTAGTAAGAATTGTTTTAAGCCGATGAACTTTCTATTATAACTTTTCTTTCATTTTGAACATGAAACCTCCTTTCCTGTTTTTTTTTTTTTTTTTTAAACTGAAATATCCTTTCCTGTTTGTGATCCAAGTGAAATCGAACTATTTCGGTCCTTATCATGATTTTAATGTGTTGGCTTGCCCTTTTTGCCAGTACCACACTCAAATAGTGCTAATGAAGACTAGCCAACTCAAGATGTAATAAAAAATCTCAGCTTTTTGTTTTTGTATTATTATCCTGCATTACAACTAATGGCGTAACAATGCATGGTGGTACATGGAAATGCCTTTCCCTTGTTTGCGCTGGCATTAACATAGATTTAAATGATCTTGTGGATAATAGTTGCTTTAAGGATACCATTCTAGTTTTACCCAAAGATTCACCGTAAGGTGAATGTTTGTGCCCTCTAAACACATACAAACCATAGCTGGAGTATATAACTGGCTTTTAGGTTTTCTGGAGTGGTGATTTTCTTCTTCTAATCTGATGAATATTAGCTAATCACGCAAGCATCTCTTTAATAAAGGTGCAATTGGTACCTTTTCTTATATATGCGAAAAATTTTCAGGTAGCATCTTTTGAGGACTGAAACATACAGTAGTTGATACTGCTATTCTAGTAAAGAGAAAACAAAAATGCATCAATGTATTTTCTTAATTGGAGACTACAATGTGAAAATCGGATTACCACCTTAATTAAAAACCAGAGTATTTGATGAGGACATCGAAGATCAACGGCTACGATCATGTCTAGTTATTTTGATGTATTTGATTTGTTATTTGTACTTTTCCCTTTCTACCCTCACTTGAGGGCTTTGTCTTATGTTTGCCCTAGGGGCAATTGTGTCTTTTATTTTCCTTCATGTATTTGGCTATTTAAGCCTTTTCCTCCCTCATGGAAAGGGATGATGATTATTGAAAATGAAATTCTTCTCTTTGTGTTCTCTTTGTGAGTTCATATTTTCTTGATCTCTTGGTGAGTTCAACTCTCCTAGATCTCTGTGTGAGTTCTATGGAAAGCCCAAGGTGAGGGCAAAAGCAATACCCGCCAGTCGTTGGAAGCGTCCTCGACTCGTGGTTTATTTTATCTTATCGTTTTCTTCTCCAACTCTTGTTTTCCTCCTCCCCACGCCAAGCCCTACCCGAGATCCAATCATCCACCGTTTTATCCACTAGCTTCCTCCACTACAATCCAAGCTCCATCAAGAAACCCCCAAACCCGACGGCAAGCAATCAACCCATCCATCCCCTACATCATGCCTCCGCCTCCACCAAGCTCCCTTCTTTTTGTTGTTATGATGATCCCAATCATCATTCTACTTTCCAAATTTAGTTGGGCTTAAGAGGGAAAATTGGATTCAATTTGAAATTCAAATTTTGAATTTCAAAACTTTCCAATTTTGGAAATTCCTAATTAGGAAAGTTCTTAAATCCGCATTATGACGAAATTCAAATTCAAATGGACTTCATCATAAGCTTCCCTAACTCCCATGTGCTGATTTGGAAACCCCTCAATGGCTCCCACACTCTTCCCCTTTCTCCACATGCCGCCGGCCTCACCTTGGTTGGAGCCCCATTCAATTCCCAATTAATGCATTGATTACAACTTAATTTGAAATCAAATTTCAAATTGATTTCCCCCCAAAACCTCTCAATTTATGAATTTAATTTCAGGATTAGTAATAAATCCCTCCTCCCACTCTCTTTGGCCGGCCACCTTAACCCCCTCCCCCCCTATTAATTAGATCCCATAAATCTAGGATCTAATTAATCCAATTCCCCCTCTTTCTCCCTCCTAATTCCCAACTCAAAATTCTGAATCATTTTTTCACGTTTTCCCTCCTTGGTATCCTACCTAGTGAATCCCAAAATCTGGCCCAAAGTTGTGCCATCCCTCCCTACTCTAGCCGATCATTCCATCCCCCTTCTTCCTCCACTGGTAACTCTTCCAAACCCTTCCCGTGACTGCTGAAAAGAGAGCCCCTGCTGGAGTTGTGTTGCTGTCCAGAGAATCCTAAAAGCTGTTACAGATTTTCTTGCATTTCCACCTGCTGTCAACTGTTTGGGAAAGTTCCAGATTGCTGTCCCCTGTCCAAAAGTGCCTAAATCAGTAACAAAGCTATCCCGGGAGACCACGTGGCTGCTGTCCTGAATATTTCCAACGAGACAAACTACTGTCCTGCTCGCCAGGAACCCCTGTTTGCTGTCCGGAAAAGTCACAGCTGCTGCTTCAAGATTCCAGCAGTTTTCTAGTGCTGATTCGCCATCCGGAAGGCTCTCATTGGTTGCCCAGAAGATCCCACACTGCTGTCCACACGCAAGACTTCTTCAAATTCAGCCACCGGACTCCGGATCTTTTCCCTCGCCCCTCAAATTAATCTAAGAATTTTGATGACGGTGAACTCTTCCCCAAGTTCCCTATTTTCCTAGTTTATGTTCAATTGAGGTTATATTTTGACTCACAAAGATCATGTGAAGCTCTTCACCACTACGCTTAGAGAACAATAGAGTTGAGTGAGGGACTCATGCATAGTGCCTAATCTCGTTGTTAATTTAGGGATTTTCATTGAACCATTCATGTATACAATGTTAGATTAACTTGATTGTTTTCTGATCTTAACTTTTATACAAATGATTCAGCCTAAGCTCGTTTTACCACTCTTAATGTTTTATCTCGTCGTTCAAATCATTATAAAGATATAATTATTTGTTCTCTCTAAAATTAAGCGTGCAAATTCATCAAGTATTTCATCTTTGCATGTTCGTTTTACATCAGTATCATACCCATTGGAAGGTGCCGTGGATCCAAATAATATAGACTGAGACTAGATGTGTGCATGTAGTTGGTTTAGATGATCTGTTTTATGAATTAGATAAATCAATTAACTTGGGTTGTAAAATTTAGAAATTCAGACCGATCAAACTATCAAGTTAAATTAAACTGAACTGAACTTTAGCTTGGTCAGTTTAGTTCGAATTAGATGAACCAAAATGTAATTAATTTTAATAATGAACCTAATTATTATTAATTAAATAACATACAGTAAGAAGAATATTTTTGGCACGTGAAATAAATATTATCCACATTTTTCTTATATTGCTTATTTTTTATGTATAATCGATTTTAAAAAAGTGAAAACCTAACCAATAACAAAAAAAGTATTTAAAAGCACGGCAAATTGCCAAATCAATACTTTAACAACTGAACCAAACCAACCAAATAAAACATGTACGGTTTGAGTTTTTGATTTTATTTAAACAATACACACCCCTAACTAAGACAGTGATGCCATATCTGCACAAAAATGAGAGGAAACTAAGGAAGCACATACATCAACATGAAAAATGGGCAGAAGACTAAATATAACTGTAAAAATATGGTATGATACACCGTTGACACAATATTCTCATTTATATATTATTTATATAAAGTGTGTAATTATAGAAGCCAAGATTAGTATTTGATATTAAAACACCATGCAGTGAAATGTAATATCATATATTTTACCTAATAAAGTTTAACGATTAGACGAGAAAAATTAACATATTTAATGACTATTAAAATTTTAAATTTTATCAGAGGCATTCATTCTCATTTATCATAACACACCAAAATTAGCATTTATTAATCATTGTAACATATTTTGCCAATATTAACATAAGTTACAAAATATCAAAACTCCTTAAAAAAGTAAAATGTCCTCTTCAAAATAATCAATCAAAATCCTAAATCCTATTATTACAAATAAATAGCATTTGAATTTTTTATGAAACTCAAATATTTGAATAAATTCTTAAAGATAAATGAATTTCTACTCTAATAAGAAAAGAGCAAAAAAATCATGTAAAAAATATAAGTTTAAAGTTAGGATTAGAGGATGAAAGTTAAAGGCTTACATCCATTAGCATTTAGGCCTACTACCTAAATATATGTGAGATAAGAAGAGCTTGCTGATTGGGCTTCAACTAGGAATCGAGAGTAAGAGGTGAATATTGCCAGGGTTGTGGGTTCAACTAACTTGAAACTTGAGATACATGAAAGTTGTTGTGGTTGTTTGGGGAGCTAATGAACAAACATAACATGTTCGATAAGGAATTATGATGGTAGAAAGCATGCAAGAGGAACAGTGATGCGGACATCAATACGAAGATTTGGCGCATCTATCACAGGCGGCGTCGTAAATCGACTAACATTATTTAAATTTTCATTTATGTATTATTTTCTGAATTTTAGCTCCTTGTTTTGATGTATTTTTCCTGTTTTACCCCTAGGTTAATTTTATTTGAGTGTTGTAGCCCAAGGGGCCAATTTTTGTATTTTTTTTTATCTTTCTCATGTTGTGCCTATAATATGGCTTTAGCTATTGTAACATAGGGGGTTTAATTTGATATGAAAAATTTTGTGTTTTCCACTTTGTGTTCTTCTGGAGAGAGAAGAGAGTGAAGATTCTTATGGAAGGAATCGAAGTGTCCCCAGCCGCAGGATGGGTCCGGGCTCGTGATTTGAAAGTCCCTGGAGAAGGGCAACGATCACCCGTCATCTTCCGAAGTGTCCGAGGCTCAACGGTTCTTATTTCTAGCTTTCGTTTATCTTTGTTTTATTTTCTCCTTCTTATCTTCTCCCCGTCGTCGTTTTCTTATTTTTCCTCTTCCCTTCTAACCCCTCGGCCAAATCCTCCATAACCAAAAGCTCCCAAAAATTTCCCCAATATGCCGCCGGC